AAAGATTGGGGAAAGGAGGATAGTATGAGGCAGGTTCATATTCAGGGTAGGGATAACCATGGGTTTGACTTAGGGGAACTGGAAGTGTTGGGCTATAGGGTGTTGATGCTCTTCAAGCAAAACCAACAGGAACACACCTGTAGCTGAACACAGTGGGGTTATTACTCACTGCTTGAGAGAACACACCTATGGGAACCATGGGGCCCCTCATATCAAGAGACACAGAAAGAACCTATTTCAGGATTTGGGCCTTAGTTGGGTAATTACGGGGAAGATCTAAGGAAATGAAGATTTGGTCTAGATCTGGTACTGTCAGAAGGCAGGGAAAGTCTATGATTGGGAACCTCTACACATTTTCTCTCTGGGAAGGGCAGACACTGCAAGTTTGAAGGTATAATTGTTGAAATAGCTCATTTTGAAGTGGAATGGGGTGAAGTTTGGCGATTTTGAGATCGTATGTGGATAACTCAGCAGAGATGGCAGCATCAGATTAGTTTGTAATAACCATGAGGTCTAGTTGTGAGCATCACATCAGGTCTGGGCATCAGGGGCTGTCTTCTATCCTTTCTCAGTCTCCCCTTTTCACCAAAGGGAATGACATCAGGCCACTGGACATTCATCCATGACATCCAAATGTTCACCGCCAATCAATGGTTCACTCTCATCATTGATGTTTCTATCTCTCTATTTCTCTCCCTTCCTCTCTGCAATCAATAAAAATATATATATATTTTAAAAATACATAATACTTGGTAATGATAATAAACTACTATGTTACTATCTTTTTTAAAAAAAAAAAGATATGTCAAGCTTAGGATCTATTAAGAAGACAGTCTTTGTTCTGGAAAAATTAGAATTTGGGTTCAAAATGGGGGAGATGGAGAAAGAAGGATCTGGTTCAAGATGAAGGGAGAAGGATCTGGTTTAGGATGTGTGAGCACTACATTATGGGTGAGTCCTGACTCATCCATGGGGTACCCAGCCACATCCTCTTCCTTCTGAGTCAGGATTTGTGGAAAATGAGGAAGAGAGCAGAGCCTGAAGTGGCATTAATTTCAGTAGAGATCATCCAAAGGTTCCCATGGGGCTGAGCAGGGCCAAGAAGGTGTTAGGTGGGGAGACATCTCACTTGCAGGATGAATGGTGGCTTCTCACATCACCACTGTTTCTACAGGAACTGGAGCTCTGCTATCGAAGCCCTGGGAACCCCCAGCTCTTCTCTGAGTTCTATGTTGGTCATTTTGTGTCGGGGATCCGACTGCAGATTAAAAGCAAAGATGATGAGACTATGGTATGGAAGGCCTTGGTGAAATCAGGTAAAGTCAAGACAAGTCCAGAGAGCTCAGTGGTGGGAAACAGAAAGTCAATAAAAGAGTCTGCGTGTGTGTGTTTGTGTGTGTGTGTGTGTGTGTTTGTGTGAGAGAGAGAGAGAGAGAGAGAGAGAGAGAGAGATCAAAATTTGCTGATGAGAAGAAATAGCCCAGAGAAGTTATGTGATTTTTTTTTTAGTTACATAACTTTTGGTGTGATTAGAATATGAATTAAAGTTGGTCTGACTCTAAGCTCCATTCCCTCTCCCGTGCACCATGGTGTCTCTATACTGCCCTTGATTTAACAGATTTTGAAACCCACAAGACATTTGGCAAAATTTCTCATAATTGAT